CCTCAAGGCGCTTTCGGTATCATGGTTGTTGTGATTGTTCTGATGCAAGTTAAAATTATGTTTGTACATCAGTAAATTATCAGTGGAACAAAATGAATCTGTATTCAGTTGCACAGATTGGACCAAAGTGTCTTCAGCTGTTTTTAGCAGATTCACTTCGTTGTGATATTGAAACAGTCTGCTTTGCTGCTCTTCCCAAGTGGCTGATCTTTGATATCTGTCGTGAAAATAAAATGTGATTTATAATTTTATTTTTATTATTTCTACATCGTTGTAGTTTTGACTTGCATTCTTTCATGTTAACATCCAGTTTCCTGATCTGAATTTTAATATGTCACAGCCATGTGAGCATCCTATGTCGGTCTTCATTAATAAAGTCCAAAAAAGAAGAAAGTCTTCTGTTTTTAGTTTTTCATTATTTTTGATGTATTATGTTGATGCCTGGTTTTGTTTTTTTATGCTCATGTTGTTCAGTTATTTGCCTGCAGCCGTGCACACAGAGTCAAAGTGTGGAGGTCGATGGACGCTGCAGGTTAAATATTGACAGTTACTTGCTTCTCATTAACTCTGAGTGACACTAAAAGGAGAGCAGTTTACAGTCTGCTTTGAGCCAGTGATTAGCCAGCTGATTGGTCTGACAAGCCATGTGAGACTCTGATAGTGAAATTACCTTCCATGCTGCATCTTGTCATAAAGTGACCCGTGAGAAAAACACGCCTTTTAAAGACTGACTGGTGAACGCAAAGCTGAATCATGGATCTAGTATTTTACGCATTGAACCTTTTACTGCTAAGTTATTGTGAAACACTTGTCCGGAAGTTTGAAACTTGTGTAATGCCATGATTGGCTGATCAGGTGTGCGCGAGGTGAGGAGCGAGAAACCGGGGAGAAGTCGTGGGAACAGGTGCGAAGTAAGCGACAGCAGCTCATCGTAGTCAGTTAATCACGACTGAAAGAAATAATAGTGCGTTTGCTGGCTTTGATACAGTATGCTAAAGAAAGTGTGCTAATAGGAGAACAGCACATCCCAGCTGGCATTAAGAAGAATATCAAAGCGAGCTCCGTTTAGAAATCAGGTAAGTTAATTATATTCAAGCGAAACCATAAAGGTGGCGCGTGACAGAAAACAACGCTAACCTGTGTTTGCACGCGCACTTATTAATATGATAAATTATTATGATATGATAAATGCTGTGCACGCTTTTAATAGTCCTAGTGCGGGGTGTGTGTGTGTGTGGGGGGGGGTTCCATTCCGACCTTAAGTCCAGTCAGCGCTGTCAGAAAGATGTGTCTCCGGGCACCGCTGCTAAAGGGAGGCGGGGCATGAACAAGCTGCTGGAGG